ATGTATGACACAGCTGTGTTTTCCCAGTGCGAAACTCGCCATAGATCTCAGTGATAGAGCCCGTCTCAAATCCGCCTGCAATGCCGGGACGAACAATAAAGCAGCACTTGGAATATTTAGCCTCTCGCTTCATTGGATGCATCTGATTTTCAGTATTTTGTTTTTGCTGATTCCTAGTATTTAATCCATAGGATGATATTTAATACGCGGGCAGGTCGAGGGGGGGGGGGGGGGGGTACCCCTCCTCCGGACCTCGCCCCCCTACTAGTCTCCCCTCCTCCGCCTGCCAATCCTTTTTTTCCCCTTCTCTTAAAGGAAACCGGTCCTTATGGTCCTCGCTTCATGTCCATTCTGCGGACCATCAGTCTGGTTCCTTCTCCCCCAATCTGTTTTTTTTTTTTTTTTTTTTTTTTTTTTGTACAATTAAGTACCTGCTCACACTTCCTTGCAATTGGCAGAAGGAACCCTGATAGCCATTCACTGCTCTAATCATGAAGTATTGATTGTCAGATTGCCAAACTTACGGTAGCAAAATGCCATTTGCCAGGATGAATCAGGATAGTGGAGGTGACCAGGTACAAGATCTGCACTGCAGTGATGCCAGCAGCGGGGTACATTCTCTGACAGAGCCCCAGATATTATTCCAAGCTTTACCATTTCTGGTTTTCAAAATTTGCAACTAATGAGCGCCTAACCACTAGTCAACGCTCGACACATATCTGGACTGCCTAATGGACGTTATACATTCAAACCGCTCGAACATGTTGAATGTATTTAGACCATTTCTGAGTCCCGATACATTAAGAATGTCGTGCAGTAGAACAAAGCCCAATAGTAAAATCATTGCGCACTTTCTCAACATCATTTCATTTGTTTTTATCCTTCTTTGATTTTTACCATAATTTTTTGGTTTTTTTTAACCATTTTCTGAATTGATTTTGCATTTGCATTTCCGTTTCATTTGCAATTGCATTTGCACACACATCCACAGTAAAAAAAATATATCCACAATTTTTCCAGTAATTTTCTACCCACAGGGCGAATTAAAAAAAAAAACACCCACTTCAAAAAAAAAAAAAAACAAAAAAAAAACAGGAAACTTGAAAGAACAATCCCTGCCTCTGTCAGGTAATGCACCAGGCTGATGGCATCACCTCAGCGCAGATCTTGCCCCCGGCTGCATGCAGTATGCTGATTCATCTTGACTCGGAGAATGTACCTGGTCCTTTTCTCCCTTTCTGGCTACGGGTACCCGAGCAGTTCAATGTGACAATATTCAGCCTCCTGATGAGTCGGTGAAACTCCGACGAAACAGTTTGTCACAGCCCCTCGTTTGTTGTCCTCTTCTCTCTCTCTGCCTACGGTTTACCGGGCAGTTCTGTTTGACGATATATATATATATATACCTACGGTTTATCGTGTGACAATATTCAGCCTCCTGATGAGCTAGTGAAACTCCAACAGAACGATCTGTCACAACCACTCATTTGTTGTCCATGAATGGCGACCCTCTCTCGATTGCCTCTCTCTCTGTCTCTCCAAGACTCTGAAACACTCTTTTAAAAAATGGCAAAATCGCATAAAACCCTAGAGAGCTTGATTACACACCCTCAAGAATTTCCGGCTCGTCCAATTGGCGCCCTGCTTGAGTTGATTGATTTTCAAAAAGAAAAATGGAAAAAAAAGGCACAGACGACTCGTTCACAGCGACAACGAAAATTTGCATAGAACTTGTTACAGCTGCCAGCTGGAGGACTGGTTGAGATCTGAAGACACTCTCATGTTACCTTGAGGAACGAGCAGCAAAAAAGAGAGAGGGGGAGAGGGGGAGAGGGGGAGAGGGAGAGTGGGAGAGAGGGAGAGAGGGAGAGAGGGAGAGGAGGAGAGGAGGAGAGAAAGAGGGAGAAAGGGGGCGTGTCAAAGGCAAGACACATGGAGAGGGCCACCATTCAGAAGCTTCCCGAGATCCTCAAGACCGACATTACACGTACACACCTGAAAAAGAGACAGACACAGACAGACAGACACACAGACACACAGAGAGACAGAGAGACAGAGAGACAGAGAGACAGAGAGACAGAGAGACAGAGAGACAGAGAGACAGAGAGACAGAGACAGAGAGAGACAGAGACACAGACAGAGACAGACAGAGACACAGACAGAGACACACAGACAGAGACACAGACAGAGACACACAGACAGAGACACACAGACAGAGACACAGACAGAGACGGAGACAGAGACAGACAGAGGGCGAGGGAGAGCGGTAGAAGCTAGAATAGAGAGCGAGGGCACAGATGGAAAGGGATGAGGGAGGCGAAGAGGGGAACGGACATCACGGCAGGGGTAGAGTTTAAGGTCACAGGAGGAAGAAGGGGGGGGCAAAGGGGGCTCAGGGTGTGAGTCTCTGTGTGTGTGTGTGTTAGAGAGAGAGAGAGAGAGAGAGAGAGAGAGAGAGAGAGAGAGAGAGAGAGAGAGAGAGAGAGAGAGGGTGTGTGTGTGTGTGTGTGTGAGAGAGAGAGAGAGAGAGAGAGAGAGAGAGAGAGAGAGAGAGAGAGAGAGAGAGAGAGAGAGAGAGAGAGTCTGTGTGTGTGTGTGTGTGAGAGAGAGAGAGAGAGAGAGAGAGAGAGGGAGAGAGAGAGAGAGAGAGAGAGAGAGAGAGAGAGAGAGAGAGAGAGAGAGAGAGAGAGAGAGAGAGTATTACCCTCCAAAATCTTGTCTAGGTCCTTGGAGCCTGAAGTTATCTGGATAATCTCAGCCCGCTGCTCATGCAACTGCGTAGCACTTGTGAAACCCATAGGCACAAGCTTCGTCGCTGCACACAACAAACAAATGCAACAGCCAATAAGCAAAAGGCTTCTTTGATCTATAAGAACAGCCCCGCTCAAAGCTGGGAGAAGGAAAGCCAAAAACCGAAAAGAGAAGGGACAACGGGGGGTGGGGGGAGGGGGGAGGCGGGGGCGAAGCACTAAAGAATACAAGAAACGAGAATGGCGTTCAAGGACAAACTTTGGGGTGGGGTGGGGTGCGGTGGGGTGGGGTGGGGTGCGGTGGGGACACATGAGAGTGAGCTCGGTGAAATCACTGAGACCAATTGGACAAGTCGCAAAAAACTAAAAACGAAAAAAAAAGTTGCAGCATAGTAGTGGGATTCTTATCGATACCCAACTTCTCTGCAAAGATGACTTCATGCAAATGAGCCACGTGGCATTTTTTTACAAGTAGATACGACACTATAGGTAGGCCTTGCGCTACAACTAGATAAGACCAAAAACAAACAAAAAAGTTGAAAAAAAAAAAAAAAACTGGATAACATCACAGAACAACTGGATAAGATTATTAAAAAAAAAACAACCTGGATAACATCAAAGAGCCGATGGATGAGCTCAAAGAGAACAGCAACTGGATAAGATTCATCCACCAGGATGGTTCGCAGCCATTTTTATAATGACGGGTCGGGTCTGGGGGGATGTACTGGGGTGCTGGTTCGCATAAAATTCATTCAGGTAAATCAGGTCGCGCATGCAAGGCCCAAAAATTTGCCTGGATCGGATTTTTGCGCAGCACCACCCTGATACATCCTGCCAAACGTGGTGCGCACATGCAGCCGCGTCGTACAAAAATGGCTGGGGCCGTGTACTGGTGGTTTAAAGTTTAAACCACCAGTACTTCCTAAAGGGGTGCCCCCCCCCCGTTAACAACCCACAATTTTGGGGAGCGTACGGGCCACTACAGAAGCGCCCAAATCCATCCGACTAGACTCTATTTTTTATCCACGGCCAGTAGTAGCTGGGCCAAGCACTGGTGGTTTAATCTCACTCGGTTGCTGGATAAGATTAAGGGGAAATTTTGCATGAATACCCCGACAAGTTGAGATATATGCCCAAATTCCCCTGAAAGATGTGGGTAAAGCGGAGGGCCATTTTGGATCGAATTATTTGTGTTATGCCCATGTCAGGCCGGTGCGCGAATTTGCAATCTGGACTCAGCTGTTTGGGCCCTGGGCATTTTGCCATCGGGCGGGGCCCTGGAAAGAGTAGGCAAGTACCGGGCCATTTTGCGAAGTTGAACGGTACCTGGTAGGGGTATATTGCAAAGATGGGGTTTCCAACCGAAACCAGAGGGAGGGGGGGTATTTCACAAAAGTTCTTTGTTTTTGTTTGGTAAGAGGGGCATTCCACTCTGTTCTCTATTTTAGAGGCATTTTGGCATATATCTCAACTTATGGGGGTATTCTGCAAATTATCCCTCAGATTTAAGAGCATCAACTGGATAAGATCAAACAACAGACGGTAAAAAATAACATTTTGCGTGTTGTCACTGTTGTGACCCACTCGTGCTTGTTTTTCAAGGATGATTTTTTTTTTTTTTTTTTTTTTTTTTTTAACAGAGAGCAGCAGCACATATGAGCCAAGTTGCATAATTACGCAGCTTGACTGAACAACTTCCCTTTTTTTCTCCTATTTAGAAAGGGCGACGGCCTTGAGATGTCATCATTGAACTGATTTACCAGCATGCAAGGCCCAAAAATTTGGGCCCAGGTAATTTAAAATCTGATTGGATCTGGATTCGAACTAGCATCGGTATTTCAACAGCTCATGGGTGTACCGACCGGGCTCGGCCCCTTGGTAAACTGAAGAATTTTCTGCCTCACGGTCATATTGAAATTCTTTCCCAATTAAAATTTAGTTTTTTTTTTTTCTTGGTGGGTTGGGGGGGGGCCGACTTGCCAAGTGGTCCTGGGCCCCACTCTGGTACCCTAGGTGTTTATTAACTTCATTTTATTTCCCTTCTATGACATGATTTTGTTCTCACCCGCTTCCGTTATCTTGTCCACATTTACCTCACTCACCCCCTTGATTTTCAGCAAATTCTTCTTTACTCAATTAAAAATTACTTTTCATTTTTTACTTGTTTTCCCCTTTTACTCTGTTTTTTTTTTTGGGTCCGGCCTGGCTCGTGGTCCTGGGCCACTACAGTCTTCACCCGAATACAACGTACGGTCATTATAGCTGTATTTGGGGCAACTTTGAGTCTAGATACAGTGATAATGACAGTACGTTGTATTCGGGTGAAGACTGTGGGCAGCCTAGGTGTTTATTTTTATTTCCCTTCTTTTCTAATTCTTGATATGACATGATTTTGTTCTCACCCGCTCCGTTATCTTGTCCACATTTGCCTCACTCACCCCCTTGATTTCAGCAAATTCTTCTTTACTCAATAAAGAAATACTTTTCATTTTTTACTTTTTTTTCCCTTTTTACTCCTTTTTTTTTTTTTTTTTTTTTTTGTGGGTCCGGCCTGGCAAATGGTCCTGGGCAACTCTGGCAGCCTAGGTGTTTATTTTTATTTCCCTTATTTTCTAATTCTTGATACGACACGATTTTCTTCTCACCTGCTTCGGTTATCTTGTCCACTTTTGCCTCACTCAGCCCCTTGATTTTCAGCAGCTCCTTCTTTGCCGAATATGCCACCGACTCCACAGTATAAAAACCACCTTCTCGAAGCTTCTTGACATCTGTTGCTGCAATCCCACAGGCCTTAAAAAAAAAAAAAAAAGGTCCCAAAAACAATGAAAACAAAAATTAACAGTCCATAACATTTCCCCCCCCCCCCCCCCCCCCCCCCCCCCCCCCCCCCGCCGAGCCCCAACCCAACACAAAGACACAGAGCAACAGAAAAAAAAAAAAGGCGAACAGAAAGTGAATAACAAGGCCAAAAAGAAAACGTGGGTCAGTTTTTCATTTTTTCTCAGCGGGTTGTAACAGCAACAGGGTCAGTTTTTCATTTTTTCTAGTTTCTGGGTCCCCTAAGCGGTACCCGAAATAGGCCTACGATTTCAAAAAAAAAAAAAAAAAAAAAAGGCCTACGATATACTTCCCAGCGATATACTACCTTGAAATTGGGTCTGTATTTCCACAGTTCATGCATGCACCAACTGAGCTAGGCCCATTGATATACTTCTTTTGACGTCGCATCCGGGCGGGAGACCTTTACATATATCATCTGCGCTATGGTTCTCTCTTCCTTTTCCCTCCTGTCTACCTGTCTTTATAATGTCCTTTATGTCTTTCCCTTCTCTCCTCCTCTCTTTTCTTTCTGGCTCTACTTCCTCTCTTTCCCCTTCTCCCCTCCTCTCTTTCTCCTCTCTTCTCTCGCCTTCTTTTGCTTTCCTGTAGCGTCAACTGATTATCGACTCTCGACTTTTGGTGTGGATTTGACGTGATGGATGTTATATTGCTGCCATTTTTTTTTATCACTGACGCTCACTTGTCAGATTGGCACTTGGCTGCTGTGCACTGGATGAAACCACGAGTAATTAAAAAAAAAATTAAAAAAAAATCACGAGTAATGTGTTGCAATTAGACACACTACCATCTTCACCCGAATAGAACGCTCGGGCATTATCACTGTATTTGGACCGCAACTTGGCCCAGATGCAGCTATAGTGACTGCGCGTTCTATTCCGGTGAAGACGGGCAACGCGGACACTTCTGTATATTTCTAAATTCCCAGAACTGGTACTACGGATCCTTTTTTTTTTTTTTTTTTTTTGAACCATTTCTCGATTTATGCGTGTCATCCTTGCGCAGGGGCCCCATGCTAATTTACCCTTCTCTGTATCGTTCCAATTGTCACGGATGTCCCGAAGGACTGGTATACTACAGATGCTAAATTCCCACCTGGTACCAAACTGATTTTCTTTTTTTTTAATATAAAAACTACGCTATATTCTTCTCTCAAATCTATCATCATCTTTCAAGTTCTTTCAATTCACCTTCACTACCTGCCTACCCCTACCCCTAAGGCTTATACAGGGGACCCCTCCGAACATAGCTTTGTTGTCTCCCTCCTAATTCTCATTACTGCCTGGGACTGGGACCACACTGATTTTCATGACTGCCTGGGACTGGTACCAAACTCATTTTCATTACTGGCTGGGACTGGTGACCGGCATTACTGGAAAGAATAGGCCCGTTTTGTTTAGCTAGGTCCTAGGTCTTAAGAGTCGGGGCCGGTAGGCTGTAGGAGATATAGAAATAGAATGGATTCGAAAAGGGGGGGGGGGGTTCTTCCACCATTCGGTCTCCAGTTGGGAAAACCCCGACTGATTCATTCCAGAGATCGGCTGATTCGTTTTCCTAAGTGATTCATCGTTCAATCCACCGCTCTGTCGGGAAATCATTCCAATGCCGATTGGATTGATTGATTCGTTGATTCATTGATCAAGTAACTGGTTCAATGATTGATTGAATGATCGATTGAATGATTGATTGAATGATTGATTGATTCATCGATTGACAGATTGATTGATTGATTGATTGATTGATTGATTGATTGATTAGTTGGTTGATTGGTTTATTGGTTTTGTTAATCGACTGCTGATGTATTGATTGAAACCCATCGAAAGATGGACCGGATGGACCGCTTAGAGGGGTGATTGGCTATCTATCAGGGAGTCATTCTAACATTCATTAATTGATTTATCGATTGATCGATCGATTGATTGATTGATTGATTGATTGATTGATGATTGATTGGTTTTATTAACGGGGCTGTTGTTGTATTGATTGATACCCATCGAAAGATGGACCGCATAAAGGGGTGACTGGCTATCTATCAGCGAGTCATTCCAATATTGATTGATTGATTGATTGATTGATTGATTGATTTCTCGATTGACTGATCGATTGATTATCGATTTCTCGATCGCTTGATTGATCAATTGCTGGATGGATGGATGGATGGATGGATGGATCGATCAAGTCATTACCGAGTGAGCATGTGATCTATTGCGTAAATAATTTTCTTAATCGGTTGTTGATCGAGTTATTCATAACGATCGAGTGTACATAGGCTATCCGCGAATGGAACGCATCGTTTTTTGCTCTTCAGGGTTTAGGGTCTGTGAACATTTGGGTCTTCCAGGCGTCCGTGTACATCTGGGTTTCTAAGCGATCTATGCACATCTCGGTTTTTCCTTTTCTTCTTCTTTCATCTTTTCGCAGCGTCCATGCTTATCTTCTCTTTCTCTGTATCGTTCCAGTTTTCACGGATGTATCCCCGAAACACACATCTGGGATTGCCAATTCGAGAGTTTTTTTTTTAAATAAAGGACCGGGGACCAACGGGCCCAGCTCAGTTGGTACACCCGGGCAACTGTTGAAATGAAGACCCAAGTCCGAATCCACATGGGGTACCAACTGAGCTAGGCCCGGTGGTCCCCGGAACTAGATGAATAAAATTCTTGAATCACCTAGGCAGGCCAGTTCCACGATGATAACTTAGAGAGCGGGAGACCTACGGGGGGGGAAAAAAAAAAAACTGTGACAGGGGAGAACGGGGAAGGTCCATCGAACGAGTGCCTGGTGCCAGGTGAACGAAAAGAGTGGGCCGTAAAACTCAAAAAGCAAAGAGCCAATCTAACGGACAAGAGTATTTTCAGCCAGGGAATGAACGCATTGTCGGGATAGATGATTTTATTTTGTATTTTTTATTTTTAAAACAAAACAAAAGGCCTCTCGAACATGTATGCATTGTCACGCCTCACGACCAACAATATTTCTTTTTGTTTTTGACAAAAACACAACGCCTCTTGCCAATGCTCCTCCTTCCATGGATAATTTCCAAAGAAACTTCGAAACAAACACAAAAGGGAGTCGTCGCTCATGTGAATGCAGTCGTTTCGCAATTACACACATCCCCATTGATCGCTTAGCCGTTGCTAATGCATTCCATGGGTTTCTCTCTCTCTCTCTCTCTCTCTCTCTCTCTCTCTCTCTCTCTCTCTCTCTCTCTCTCTCTCTCTCTCTCTCTCTGTGTGTGTGTGTGTGTG